TGCCCGTATGACTCGTAAAAACGAGATCAGGGTAGGTCATTCACCCCGAACGAGATTCTGCCCTTCGGCGGAACCTCGTCCGGGTTCCTTTCTGCTCAAAAGCAGAGAGTTCGACCGTCAAGTCGAAAAGATCGGCTTGATTGATTCGAGTATCATTTTATCGTGGGTTTCGAGATTGAGCCCGAACCTCGTCCCAAAAATATGCGCAGAGCACCACCCCCCACGAGGGTTGCATGCGACACAAGGTCATTTTTATCGTGGGTTTCCTGAGCCCGTAGGCTCAGCCAAAAATATGCCCGTATGACTCGTAAAAACGAGATCAGGGTAGGTCATTCACCCCGAACGAGATTCTGCCCTTCGGCGGAACCTCGTCCGGGTTCCTTGCTCTCAAAAGCAGAGAGTTCGACCGTCAAGTCGAAAAGATCGGCTTGATTCAGTATCTAGCCACCCCACGAGGGTTGCATGCGACACAAGGTCATTTTTATCGTGGGTTTCCTGAGCCCGTAGGCTCAGCAAAAAAATATGCCCGTATGACTCGTAAAAACGAGATCAGGGTAGGTCATTCACCCCGAACGAGATTCTGCCCTTCGGCGGAACCTCGTCCGGGTTCCTTTCTGCTCAAAAGCAGAGAGTTCGACCGTCAAGTCGAAAAGATCGGCTTGATTCAGTATCTAGCCACCCCCACGAGGGTTGCATGCGACACAAGGTCATTTTTATCGTGGGTTTCCTGAGCCCGTAGGCTCAGCCAAAAAAATATGCCCGTATGACTCGTAAAAACGAGATCAGGGTAGGTCATTCACCCCGAACGAGATTCTGCCCTTCGGCGGAACCTCGTCCGGGTTCCTTTCTGCTCAAAAGCAGAGAGTTCGACCGTCAAGTCGAAAAGATCGGCTTGATTCAGTATCTAGCCACCCCCCACGAGGGTTGCATGCGACACAAGGTCATTTTTATCGTGGGTTTCCTGAGCCCGTAGGCTCAGCCAAAAAAAATATGCCCGTATGACTCGTAAAAACGAGATCAGGGTAGGTCATTCACCCCGAACGAGATTCTGCCCTTCGGCGGAACCTCGTCCGGGTTCCTTTCTGCTCAAAAGCAGAGAGTTCGACCGTCAAGTCGAAAAGATCGGCTTGATTCAGTATCTAGCCACCCCCACGAGGGTTGCATGCGACACAAGGTCATTTTTATCGTGGGTTTCCTGAGCCCGTAGGCTCAGCCAAAAATATGCCCGTATGACTCGTAAAAACGAGATCAGGGTAGGTCATTCACCCCGAACGAGATTCTGCCCTTCGGCGGAACCTCGTCCGGGTTCCTTTCTGCTCAAAAGCAGAGAGTTCGACCGTCAAGTCGAAAAGATCGGCTTGATTCAGTATCTAGCCACCCCCCACGAGGGTTGCATGCGACACAAGGTCATTTTTATCGTGGGTTTCCTGAGCCCGTAGGCTCAGCCAAAAATATGCCCGTATGACTCGTAAAAACGAGATCAGGGTCGGGTCATTCACCCCGAACGAGATTCTGCCCTTCGGCGGAACCTCGTCCGGGTTCCTTTCTGCTCAAAAGCAGAGAGTTCGACCGTCAAGTCGAAAAGATTCGGCTTGATTCAGTATCTAGCCACCCCACGAGGGTTGCATGCGACACAAGGTCATTTTTATCGTGGGTTTCCTGAGCCCGTAGGCTCAGCCAAAAATATGCCCGTATAACTCGTAAAAACGAGATCAGGGTAGGTCATTCACCCCGAACGAGATTCTGCCCTTCGGCGGAACCTCGTCCGGGTTCCTTTCTGCTCAAAAGCAGAGAGTTCGACCGTCAAGTCGAAAAGATCGGCTTGATTCAGTATCTAGCCACCCCCACGAGGGTTGCATGCGACACAAGGTCATTTTTATCGTGGGTTTCCTGAGCCCGTAGGGCTCAGCCAAAAAATATGCCCGTATGACTCGTAAAAACGAGATCAGGGTAGGTCATTCACCCCGAACGAGATTCTGCCCTTCGGCGGAACCTCGTCCGGGTTCCTTTCTGCTCAAAACAGAGAGTTCGACCGTCAAGCCGAAAAGATCGGCTTGATTCAGTATCTAGCCACCCCCCCCACGAGGGTTGCATGCGACACAAGGTCATTTTTATCGTGGGTTTCCTGAGCCCGTAGGCTCAGCCAAAAATATGCCCGTATGACTCGTAAAAACGAGATCAGGGTAGGTCATTCACCCCGAACGAGATTCTGCCCTTCGGCGGAACCTCGTCCGGGTTCCTTTCTGCTCAAAAGCAGAGAGTTCGACCGTCAAGTCGAAAAGATCGGCTTGATTCAGTATCTAGCCACCCCCCACGAGGGTTGCATGCGACACAAGGTCATTTTTATCGTGGGTTTCCTGAGCCCGTAGGCTCAGCCAAAAAATATGCCCGTATGACTCGTAAAAACGAGATCAGGGTAGGTCATTCACCCCGAACGAGATTCTGCCCTTCGGCGGAACCTCGTCCGGGTTCCTTTCTGCTCAAAAGCAGAGAGTTCGACCGTCAAGTCGAAAAGATCGGCTTGATTCAGTATCTAGCCACCCCCCACGAGGGTTGCATGCGACACAAGGTCATTTTTATCGTGGGTTTCCTGAGCCCGTAGGCTCAGCCAAAAATATGCCCGTATAACTCGTAAAAAACGAGATCAGGGTAGGTCATTCACCCCGAACGAGATTCTGCCCTTCGGCGGAACCTCGTCCGGGTTCCTTTCTGCTCAAAAGCAGAGAGTTCGACCGTCAAGTCGAAAAGATCGGCTTGATTCAGTATCTAGCCACCCCCCACGAGGGTTGCATGCGACACAAGGTCATTTTTATCGTGGGTTTCCTGAGCCCGTAGGCTCAGCCAAAAAAATATGCCCGTATAACTCGTAAAAACGAGATCAGGGTAGGTCATTCACCCCGAAACGAGATTCTGCCCTTCGGCGGAACCTCGTCCGGGTTCCTTTCTGCTCAAAAGCAGAGAGTTCGACCATCAAGTCGAAAAGATCGGCTTGATTCAGTATCTAGCCACCCCCCACGAGGGTTGCATGCGACACAAGGTCATTTTTATCGTGGGTTTCCTGAGCCCGTAGGCTCAGCCAAAAATATGCCCGTATGACTCGTAAAAACGAGATCAGGGTAGGTCATTCACCCCGAACGAGATTCTGCCCTTCGGCGGAACCTCGTCCGGGTTCCTTTCTGCTCGAAAAAAGCAGAGAGTTCGACCATCAAGTCGAAAAGATCGGCGAGATTGATTCGAGTATCTTAGCCAGCAGAGAGTTCGACCGTCAAGTCGAAAAGATCCCCCACGAGGGTTGCATGCGACACAAGGTCATTTTTATCGTGGGTTTCCTGAGCCCGTAGGCTCAGCCAAAATATGCCCGTATGACTCGTAAAAACGAGATCAGGGTAGGTCATTCACCCCGAACGAGATTCTGCCCTTCGGCGGAACCTCGTCCGGGTTCCTTTCTGCTCAAAAGCAGAGAGTTCGACCATCAAGTCGAAAAGATCGGCTTGATTCGTTGTACACAGCCATTTTTACCCCCACGAGGGTTGCATGCGACACAAGGTCATTTTTTATCGTGGGTTTCCTGAGCCCGTAGGCTCAAAAAAATATTCCCGTATGACTCGTAAAAACGAGATCAGGGTATGGGTCATTCACCCCGAACGAGATTCTGCCCTTCGGCGGAACCTCGTCCGGGTTCCTTTCATCAAAAAAGAAGAGAGTTCGACCATCAAGTCGAAAAAGATCGCTCTTGATTCAGTATCTTCACCACCCCCACGAAAATTGCATGCGACACAAGTTCATGCGACATGTTTTTTTTCGTGGGTTTCCCTGAGCCCGTAGGCTCAGCCAAAAAATATGCCCGTATAACTCGTAAAAACGAGAAAAAGGGTCATTCACCCCGAACGAGATTCTGCCCTTCGGCGGAACCTCGTCCGGGTTCCTTTCTGCTCAAAAAAAAGCAGAGAGTTCGACCATCAAGTCGAAAAGATCGGCTTGATTCAGTATCTAGCCACCCCCACGAGGGTTGCATGCGACACAAGGTCATTTTATCGTGGGTTTTTGGAGCCAAAGCCCGTAGGCTCAGCCAAAAATATTTCCGTAACATGATTAAAAACGAGATAGGGTAGGTCATTCAGACCCCGAACGAGATTCTGCCCTTCGGCGGAACCTCGTCCGGGTTCCTTTCATCAAAAAGCAGAGAGTTCGATTTTCAATCTCGGAAGATCGGTTTGATTCTAGCATAAAAGGAGAGTTATCTTGAGAGGCGTAGTATACATAGTGTTAGGAACAAAATGGTTTCATAGTTATAGGTAAGGACTCATAAAAAAAATTATTAAATTTTGATCATCATTATCTTCATCATCATTATTATCATCATCAAAAAATCATCATTATCATTAGTATTATTTTAAATTAAAATTCATCATTGTCATTATCATTATTATTATTATTATATAGATATACAGTCTAGAATTATCTGGCTACGTAAATAGGAATGACTTAGTCTAAATTTCGACGGCTTTTTTACCTGGAAGACCAGTACTGAAAATCATATGTTTCATGAAAAGTGACCTGTGGCGCCAATAAGAAAGATATAACTATTCGGGCTAACAAAATATGTTTAAAAAGCCTTCCTGTCATGTCTGAAATGTAAAATGTTAATACAAAATTTCTTGACACTGCCCTCTTGCCTGTGACCGACAAATTAATGAAAAGAAATAAAAATGATGTCATCAAAAGAAAATATATCAGCAATAAAATCCCATCTAAAAAGATTTTGGGAGAGTTTTTCATGCCGACCATTTTGAGGAAAAATAAATGGAGGAGGAGATGGAAAAAACACGACGACAAAACATCAGATTCATTTTTCTGCTAAAAATGATAAATAAGAAATTCTGGGAATGAAAAAATGAAAGAAAAAGTGCAGGAGAAAGGCGGGAAAATAAAATCCTGGGAAAATGGAATAATAGAAGTTTAGTTTCAAAATGTGTAGATTGATAAATGATAACGCGGGGTCAGAAAAAGAGGAAGGGATGATGAAAGAAAGAAAGGAATGAAGGATTTACATAAGGAATGGTGGAGGAAGGAGATGGGAAAGAAAAGGGAGATGGAAACTGAAAGAAAAGACGAAAGAAATAAAGACGGAAAGGAGAATGTAAAAGAAAGAAAGAAAGAAAAAAGAAAGAAAAGAAAAGAAAAGAATAAAACCTCAAGAGAAAAGAAAAAACGATTTTGGAAACCACTTTTTTGAAGAAAAAAAGAGAATGGTCAAAAAGAATAAATTAGAAGAACGAAAAAATAAAAATGGAAAAAAAAAAAACGAAGAAACAAATTCAAATAAAAGGATGAGTTTAAGGAAGGAAGGAAGGTAAGGAAAAAAAGAAAGGAATATTAAAATTATTTGGGAGAAAAAAAAAAAGAAGAAAATTATCGTTTTCAGAGTTAAGAACATGTTGCAGTGAAAGAAAAATAAAAGAATAAGGAAAAAAAAAAAAAAGAAAAAAAGAAAAAAGAAAATTTTGAACTAAAAAAAGAATTAAAAAAAAAGAAAAGAAAAATCAGACAGACAGATTTAAAAAAGAAAAAAAATAAAGAAAAGAAAAAAGAAGGAATTTTTTAAAGAAGGAAAGAATTGAAAAAATTAAAAGTGAAAGAAAAGAAATCAAATAAAAAAAAAAAAAAAAAAGAAATCCATTTGAAAAAGAAAGAAAAAAAAAAAATCCTGAACTAAAAAGGAAAAAAATAGAAAGAAAAGTCAGAATATACAGACAGAAAGAAAATTAAAAAAAAGGAAAAAGAAAAAATATTAAAAATTGTAAAAAAAAAAAAAAAGACAATCGAGGAAAACAACAACTAAATATAAAAAAGAAAAAAAAAGCAAAAAAATATAATAAAAGAAATAAAAAATTAAAAAAAAAGAAAGAATGAAATAGAATGAAAGGAAGGAAGGAATGAAATTGAATGGAAGGAAGGAAGGACGGAGTCAATAACATTATGAATCATCTATAAAGGAATTGCGAAAGGGAAGGAAACGATCTTAAAAATAAAGAAAGAAAAAAAGCACAGTGAGGGTCACGAATTATAAAGAATCAAACCAAGGAAATAAAACAAATGTAAGGAATGAAAGACCCAAAGAATGAAGGAAAAAGGAAGAAAATAAGAAAGGAAAAGAAGAAAGAAAAAGTAAGGCAGAAAAGAAAAAAATGGAGTAAAGGAAAAATAATAGTAAATAAATAATGGAATCAGAAACAGAGGCAAAGAAGAACGAAAAAAGAAAGAAGAAATGAAGAACTAAAAAGAAAAAAGAAAAGGAAAGTTAAAAGGCACAGCAACGAAGAAGAAAAAACTAGAAAAGAAAATGAAAGATGAAGAAATAGCCAAAAAAAAATTTTTTAAAAAATAAATGAGCAGAAAGTAAAAAAAAAAAAGAAGAAAAAAAAAAAAAAAAAAAGGAAGATAAATAAAAAAAAATTTAATGAAAAAAAAGAACAATTTAAAAAAAGATTGAAAGAAAGAAAAGAAAGAAAGAAAAAAGAAAAAAAAACAAAATAACATAAATAAACAAAAAGGGAAGAGAAAAAAAAAAAAAAGAATGAAGGCGAAAAAAAAAAAAGAAAAAAAAAATTTTTTGTAAACAAATAAAATTAATAAAAAAGAAAAAGAAAATGAGAGGAAAACTGAATTAATGAAAGTATGGAAAAAAAAAAGAAAAAAAAAAGATTTTTAAAAGGGGAACGGAAAGAAAACAATAGTTTGAAATTAAAAATTGAAAAACAGGAATTTAAGAAATAAAATGGAAAAAATTAAAGCCAAATTAAAAAAAAACGAAAACACAAAAGGGAGGGAGACAGAATAGGCAAAATTAAAGATAAATGAAAAAAAAGAAAGGCGAAATAAATTAAACATAAATAAGAGAAAAAAAAAGATATACGGATAAAATAAAATCTGAATTTAAAAACTCCATGAAAAAAAAATTTAAAAAAAGGAAAAGAAAAAAAAAAAACAAAGGACACAAAGAAGGTTAAAGCCAAGAAAAGGAAAAAAAAAAAAAAAAAAAAAAAAAAATGAGAAAAAGACGATCATATTAAATAAAAAAGAAAAGTAAATGAGAAAAAGAATAAAGAGAAAAAGAAAAAGGAAAAAAATAGGAAAGAAAAAAAGAAAGAAAAAAAAAATTAATTAAGGAAATGACCCAGGGTATTTTAAAAAAAAAAAAAAAAAGATAAAGAAAAAGAAACAATGGGAGTTCAAATTTAAAATTTTTCAGAAGATAAAATGATAAAATAAAAAAAAAAAAAAAAAAAAAAAGAAATTACTCAAGTTTAGTAGGTAGTTTGGAAAATAATGACCGATTGTAGAATAATTTTTTTAACTGCGTTGTAATTTATTTAATAATTAACAAAAATATAAATTGAAATTCAAAAATTATTAATATTATATGAACCAATCTTTTTAAATGAAATTTTCAAATAAATGAATAAATTATGTACATACTCTAGAAAATATTAGGTTGTTTTTGAAAATAGGTTGTTTGGAAAATGTTAGGTTGTTTTGGAAAATATTAGGTTATTCGTATAAATATTAAGTTGTTTGGAAAATATTAGATTGTTTTAGAAAATATTCAAAACTTTGGAAAATATTAGGTTGTCTATATGAATATTAGGCTGTTTGGAAAATATTAGGAAAATTTTAGAAAAGATAAGTTAAAAAAAAAAAAAAAATATTAGGTTATTTTAGAAAATATTAGGTTGTTTGGAAAATATTAGGTTGTTTTAGAAAATATTAGGTTGTTTGGAAAATATTAGGTTATTTTAGAAAATATTAGGTTATTTTGGAAAATATTAGGTTCTTTTGGAAAATATTACGTTGTTTGGAAAATATTGGGTTGTTTTGGAAAATATTACGTTGTTTGGAAAATATTACATTGTTTGGAAAATAATTAGAATAAAACTAAAAAAAAACTTAATTTTTCATTTATTATTATAATAAACAACAAAAATTTATCTTTCTCATTCCTAATAATTAAAGTGTCCTCTTTGTTAATTTTATATCAATCTCTTTCGGAATTTTGTTCTCAGGTACGTGACGCACCCTGTTCGGAAAATGTCAGATTTTAGATTAAATCTATTCTGTATCTGTCTATATTTCTGAGATGAGGTATTATGCAAATTATTGATGTTTATTCGGATATTGTCCTCATTTTTTGTCGCCATATTTATGACAAGATTTGGCCGTTGGTACGCATCCGGTTTTCTTCAGTGGTTGGAAAAACTGAACCCTTTATTTCGCTATAAAAAACGACAAAGATGAGGACAATACTCCGAATAATGTAAAATAATACTAAAGTATTGTTTTTATCATAAATTATAATTTTATTAACAAATATATATAACTTGTTCCTAATTATTAGTATTCTATTAGTTTAATAACAATCTTTTTCAGAATTCTGTTTTCAAATACGTCACGCGCCCTGTGTATACTCAAGTAAATAGTATTAGGTTATTTAGAAAATAATATCGAATTTTAGAATAAACAAATTAATTATTTTCTAATATATTATAATAATTCTTGCACAAGATATATTACTCATTTCTAATGAGTAAAATGTTATCTTTGTTAATTTTATATCAATCTCTTTCAGAATTTAACTTATGGTTGTTTGGAAAATTATGTTTGATTTTAGGATAATCCTTTTTTGCCCTAAGATGTTGATATCTCCCGGAAAGGGATATATATTGATCGAAGTAGCTAAGTAGGTTTGGCTACTGTAACCAAGCAGTACACGGTAGCAGTAATCGATTGGTACTCGTCGTAGTCGCAGGTAATAGGTGTAGACCAATAGGATAGCCAATGGCGTAGTCCAATGGGTGTCCTCATAGACTTAAACTCTGTCGTACCTACACGTCCGTCTGTATTTATGACGGACACCAGCCAATCATATTCCAGTGAGGGGGAACACAGGTGTATGCATATTCCATAATATCAGATGTGATTGTAATGGTTGCACAAATTTATATCACATATTATATATATATAAATATATTCTATTTATATATATTAAAACATTATAAATTATTCATCTTAGACATGAAAAAAAGAATGCGTTTTTTTTGCATGGGTTCAAATTTTGGTGGTAATGCTTCTAAGACTAAAAGTCCAACATTAAACGTATATAAAATAAACAATTTATAAAGATAACAAAGGTTGGTTCGAAAATCGGACAAAATTTCCATTGCTTTATCATCAAATACAATAACGTTAAGGCCTGAACAGACGAAAAAAAAACCGAAGGAAGAAAAAATCCAAAAAGGGACGTATTTCTAAACTTTATATATATATATAAATCAATAACAGATAATAAAATAATAATAAAAAAAAAAACAGACGAACTTTAAGGTTCTGGAGTAATATACGTTTAAATTTAAAAAAAAAAAAAAAAAAATTGGAATCATTTTTTTTCAGGTTTTGATTTTTAACGAAAAGCATATTGAGAAAAATCTTAATATTTTGAACGCAACTGTACACTTTAAATTACAGATAAAATGTGTATATAATATAAATTGCCTTAAAAAATAATAAACAACTAATTTTATTACTGAATGAATTTTTTAAATAAGATTTTTTTAAAAAAAGCCTATTATTGTTGGTTTTTTTAGGATAAATATATTTTTAAATTTGTGCCATATGAAGGATGCAAACAATCAATTAAAAAATATAAAAACGCTTTAAAAATATTTCATGAAATTTTCAAAACGCCTGAATGTTATTTTTATATTTTTTTTTCAATTCCTTAATTAGATTCTTAAAATAAATAAAAACAGGATCAAATAATACAAACATCCGCAAGAATTAAGATATATATATAGTTTATTAAAAAAAGGTAATTTATTTCATTTAAAAGAAATCAGTATGAAATCCTTATTAATTTCGCCTATTTTGACACTTTAAATGATTTTTTTCGACCTTTAAAAGGGTTATGTTTGAAATAAATTTCAAATGGAAGCATTTAGCTTTAATTATGAATTATCTCCTTGTGTTTTATGTTAGGATATTTACCTATAATAATATAATTTGAACGTAATATATACGCCTCAAGAAAATAAAGGAGTTCAAGATTCGAAGTTTATACGGGTTCAAAGGGCATATTTTTACCGAGCCCACGGGCTCGGAGATCCCACGTTAAACCAGCCTTGTGCCCATGATAATTTCGTGGGGAAATAAATACCGTTCAGTTTGAAGTATGGAGTGAACTTCCGTAAGTCAGTCAGTCAAGAAAAGTCAGTCATTATTTCAGAGGCAGTCCGAAACAGAGTCGCGTTCAGACAATTACTGCAAGACATTGGAATAGTGATACTGGTCGAGACTACATTGTTTGGATTTACTAAACCTGATTGTTCGTACTAACACTTTCTACTTCTCTGTATATATTCCTGTTTGTAATATATCTGTGTTATTCCATTTATCCGTGTTCGAGTTCTTCTTTATTGGTTCTAATTGGACCATCACCATTTGGTACAAGGACCTGGATCATAATATTGGTATAAAAGAAATTTGTATAAAGAATGAAATGATTATTTAATTTGAAGGTTTTTGGTTTTTATTATATGAATAAAATTTTATTTTTAAAACGTCAATTTTTGTATTTATAGAAAAATGAATTTTGAAAAAATTCCAAAAAAAGGAATTTTTTTCTATTTACCAAAACAGAAAATTCACCGATTTCAGGATAAACAATCTAAAAATGCTGGATGAATGATGGTAAAAGAAAATTGCTAGTGTTTTCAAAATTAAGAAAAAAATCAAGTACAAACAAACAGTATCTTTAATGGAATGAAAAGAGAGATTAAAAAGAAAAAAAAAAAAGAAATGAAAAATGAAATATTAAAAATAAAAATTAATATAAAGATACACACTTAAAATAAAGAAAAAATTACCCAAAACGGGAATTTCAGACTTCAAAATATTGAAAAAGAACAAAAAGTTTTATTTTGAAAAATTATCTAAATCAAATTTTCATCATCTTCATTAAAATTAATTTTTCATCAAAAATTTATTTAAAATATTAAATTTGTATTTGGGTTTTTGTTCATTGTCATAATTTATATAGAAAGTATAATTGTGGTCTACGGTATCGAAAACTGTTCAAGATTTTCTTGTTGCATTTACGTAAATTAAATTAAGCCGCTCCAAACAGTTAAGAACCCTGATAAATACAGAAATCATGTAATTAGATTTGGTTAAAAATTGTACAAAAAGATAAAAATATATTATAAATGAACTTGTCAGATAATTATTTAATATATTGTGTCCTTAATTTATAATTTAAATTTTTATCATAGATATATTTTGATTTTAAGCAAATCTAAAAAAAAAAAAAAATTAAAAAAAAAAAAAATTGCTTTAAATAAAAGAATACCTCTATGTTTGAATTTTCAGATCAAATTAAATTAGTAAATCGCATTTATTCTTCCAAAATTTATCCCATTTAAAACAAAATAAAACCATGTTTGACACTTATGATTCATAATGGTAACCATGTATGAATTTTAAATTCT